TGAAATAGATCAAACATGAAATCAAGATGTATAGAAAATTACTGGTGATTGGAATGCAAAAGTTAGATACAAAGATTAGTAGTTGGAAAATATGACCATGGTGATAGAAACTATGCTGGAGATCACATGATAAAATTTTGCAAAACCAATGACTTCTTCATTGCAAATGCCTTTTTTAAACAACATAAAAGACAACTGTACACATGGGCCTGACCAGATGGAATGCACAGAAATCAAATTGACTACATCTGAGGAAGGAGACGGTAGAAAAACCCCATATCATCAGGCAAAACAAGGCCAGGAATAGATTGTGGAACAGACCATCAATTGCTCATATGCAAATTCAGACTGAACCTGAAGAAAATGAAAACAAGTCCACAAGAGCCTTGAATATACTCCACCTGAATTTAGAGATCATTTGAAGAACAGATTTGATGCAGTAGGCACTAAAGACTGAAGACCAGAAGAGTTATGAGATGACATCAAGAATGGCATACAGGAAAAAGACAAAAGATCATTACGAAGACAACAAAGAAGGAAAAGACGAAGATGGATGTCAGAAGAGACACTGAAACTTTCTCTCCAATGTAGAGATGCTAAAGCAAATGGAAGAAGTGAGGAGGTACAAGAGCTGAACAGAAATTTGCAAAGGTCACCTCGAGAAGACAAAGGAAAATTTTATAATGAAATGTGCAAAGACCTGAAGTTAGAAAACCAAAAGGGGGAAACACACTCAGCATTTCTCAAGCTGAAGGAACTGAAGAAAAAATTCAAACTTCAACTTGAAGTATTGAAGGATTTCTGGTAGCATATTGGTTTTGAGTCAGGCTGCTAACCTCAAGGTCAGCAGTTCCATGGGAGAATGATGAGGCTTTCTGCTCCCATAGACATTTACAGCCTCAGAAACCCTATACAGGGTCTCTGTAAGTCAGAACCAACTCCATGGCACACCACCACCACCATGAGCAAAATATTGAATGATGTAGAAAGCATCGAAAGAAGATGGAAGGAATACCCAGAGTCACTGTCCCAAAAAGAAACAGTCAATGTTCAACCATCTCGGGAGGTAGCATATGATCAAGAGCCAATGATCCTGAAGGAAGAAGTCCAAGGTGCATTGAATGCATTGGCAAAGAACAAAGCACTGGTAATTGATAGAATACAAATTAAAATCTTTCAACAAGCTGATGCAGCACTGGAAGCACTCACTCATCTATGCCAAGAAATTTGAAAGACAGCTGCCTGGCCAACTGAATGATAGACTAAGATGTTTGAACACCCATTCACATTGGATGTGTTGGGTGTATTCCTTCCTTTCTTCACTCACTCACTCAAATATTTATTTAATTCTTACCTCCAACTGATACCATTTCTGAAACTAAGGTATTCTCCACAAAGCCAGAGAAGCTTATGGTCTGTCAATAAAAGGAGCATTATAAGCCCATAAATATGATGTAACAGGAATCCTGGTGTGGTGCTGTATGATAAGTACTAGACTACTAACTTCAATGTCAGCGGTTCAAACCCAGCCATTCCTCAGAAACCTTATATAGGGTTGCTATGAGTCAGAACCAACTCAACAGTCCTTAACAACAACAACAACATGATACAATATGACAAGTTGTAGAATAGCAGTGTGATTAGAATATTCTGGGTGCCCAGAGTCAGAGTAACAGAGAAGGCTAGGGAGTGCTTTCAAAAGAGACCATGTTGTTGTTGTGTCCAGTAGGAAAAGCAGAGGTTCGATACACAGAAGATGAGGTGGGAATGGATCCCAGGTGGAAACAAACATGCCGGCAAAAGCACCAAGATATTCACAAGCACGACACGCTGAGAAGTCACCGTGGCTACACTTACTATCTCTAAAGGAGAGAAGCCATTGGGATGCAGACCGGTGCTAGGAATTCTAATACATTTACCAGATAGTATGATAGTATGGGAGGTGACGGAGGTTCAAGCCCACCAGACATTCCTCAGAAAATCCTATACAGAGTCGGTGTATGTCTTAACAACAGCAACCACAATGTGAGGTTTGACATAAGATTGTTCATACTGGATAAGAGAGGGTAATGAGGGGATTTTGTCATAATCAAGGTCAGAAAAGATGAGCACTGGGTCTGAAGCAGTGAGAATGACAACAGAGAGAAAGGAAGACAGAGTAGAAATTATTTTTGAGAAAAACACAAGATTTGATAGCTTTGGATATGGCTGGTGAGAGAATTAGGACAGATGAGCCTGTGAATGGTCACATTCAAACCCACCAAGCACAGAGGGTCCCTGTTCTAACACTGCCCATCTGAGAGTAAAAGGATTCAGAAATCCTGGTCGTCACATGACTCTATTTTTCGTTAGATATATGTAAGTCTTTTTAGAGAAGCTTTTATTTAGAAGTGGTGGCTGTGTGCCGTGGAGTCGGTTGCGACTCATAGCGACCCTGTACAGGGTTTCCAAGGCTATAAATCTTTATGGGAGCAGAAAGCCTCCTCTTTCTCCCATTCACTTAGAAGTTGTTGTTGTTGTTATTAAGTGCCGTTGAGTCGGCTCTGACCCGTAGTGACCCTGAACTGGGTTTCCGAGGCTGTAAATCTTTATGGGAGCAGAAAGCCTCCTCTTTCTCCCTTGGAGCAGCTGGTAGTTTTGAACTGCTGACCTTACAGTTTGCAGCCCGATTCGTAACCACTACGCTACCAGAGCTCCTTCACTTAGAAGTAGTGTCCCTAAAAACAGGATTTCAGAAACACATGTGCATGTAACTTAAGAACTGGACCTGAACTCCCTTCTAAAATGCTTGAAGACCTGCACAGGACAATAGCTCCTAATAGTTAATGCACTCAACTGCTCAACAAAAGATGCCAGTTCAAATCCACCCAGAGATGCCTCTGAAAAAAAGCCTACTGATCTATTCTGAAAATTTTGCCACTGAAAACCCTATGGAACACAATTGTACTTTGACACAAATGGGGCCACCATGAGTTGGAACCGGCTCAACAGCAAGCGGTTTTAGCATTGGGGAAGAGAAAACTGGGTTGTTTTCTCTCAGAATACCTAAGACTAAAGAAATCCCCAAACGGCACATATTTTTGTTACCCGGCAACTCCAATTGGCCTCCTGATTTAACGGAATATGAAAAGACAACACAGAAACTGGCCCCAGGGAGGGGGGTGAGGGAAGAAGGGAAAGAAAGCAACCTAATATTTTATTCCTCTACAGAAGTTATCCATATCATAATCTTTAAAGAAGGTTCATATGCTCCTGTGTAGAATCTCACCTTAGGTGGATTCAGCCCTTAGCTACATTCTAATTTCATGTCATATACATCTTTCTGAGCTGAAAGATATTTGATGGATTCACTAGTCAATAAACACTGGGAACTATTATCTTCACCTGTAGTCCATTCTGCATCCTAGTATAATCGACAGGAGCCCCCTAGTGGCCAGAAACACTTTCCCGTCCAGAAATTGCTCATGAAAATAAATTCCACATAATCCCACCCCACTGACATGGGTTGCTAGAAAGAACACTTCTAAACTACAACTTGGAACAGTTGCTCAAGACAAAGCTTTACACTTGTTGGAACAAAATGTAATCCCACTATCTTTTTTTTTTTCCCCTACTATCTTTTGAGGCTGATTACATATATATGGATGATTAGTCTCACTAGGGGAGCATTGTGTCTCTTTAGAATAAGCACTGGACTGCTAACCACAAGGTCGGAAGTTCAAGCTCACCAGCTGTTCCATAGGGGGGGAAATGAGGCTTTCGGGTCCTGCAGAGTTTTATAGCCTCAGAAACCCATACAGGGTCACTGTAAGTCCGAATCAACAACACCTAACTACAGCAACAACCAAGTCTCAGTAGACACAAATGAGCTTTTGGTGATCTGTTCTATTATTTGTATCAGGTGGGGGGTTTGCTGACTTCTTTCTGGAAATCCCTACAACAAGACATGGTCCTGTTTATGTCTTTGCCTGACGTGTGCCAGCTCTTTAAATGCTACGATGCACAGCTGTATAAGGTAAGGAGACGTCTGTGTGAACTGCTGCTTCCTGTCCTCTTAGAAACTGATATCAAATGCTGAGGGCAGACCCACCGCCCTCCCTCTCTGCAATCTCTGTGGACTTCATGCCCTCAGTGGAGTGAACAGTGTGGCTGAGGGACCGTAATCCTTCTGATCTCTGTCTAAAATCTAGCTTTTCTTTTTGAAATCAGTGAATGTCTGCGTTGCCTCAGGTAAAGAAAAAGCCAACACACGTAGTGGCCTGTGGTTCCAGAACCAGTGATCATCCTTGAACAAAGTCAAATTTCTTGCTCTAGTAGCTTTACATTTTTTTAAAAAATGAGTATTTGGAATAAATGCTTTAGAATCAGTGTGATTCCTGGGATTTTTTTTTCAAGGTCTGTCTCTAAATTGATTCTTTTATTTGGGGGACCAGTATTATATCATTGCTGCAGTGAAAATGTGTCCTTCTTCAACTAGTCATCAACATCATTTTTTGCTCTGTTTTTTAGGAAATAATATAGTATTTTTAAGATTATTTTTTTAAGGTTTTTATTGTGGATTGAGTGAAAGTTTTCAGGGCACATCATCGGTTTCACATTCAAACATTCATATACATTGTTTCATTACATTGATTATAATCCCCTCCACATACCATCAGTTAACAGAGTTTCTCTCTATCCTCTTTAGCTTTTTTTGGGGAAAAACTTTGCCTTTTTGGAATTTACAGTCTCGGCTTTTAGGGAAGGTTTTTACATTTATCTGTGGGTATCCAGGGCTCATGTATGGAATTACTAACCAGCATAACTGAATAATCAGATAAGGGACATTTTGCTATGTCTGCTAGGTGGCTAAAGTCTGATCCTCAGAGCCTATGGTTTGGACGGTCAGCAACGCTTGGGCCCACAGGGACTTGAACTCCTGACCGAGTCTGCAGTCTGCATCAGATTCCCCCTTATTTATTATTTGTTTAAGGGACGCTGCCTGTCTTAGACGGTCAGTGCAAATTCCTCAGTCTTACCCGTCATCGAAACTCATTGCAGCATGGCAATGGCTCTGTCTTAGGTTGCCGAGAGTATTTTTAAGATTTTTAACACAAAACTTGAAAACTAAAGGCTCAGGTCAACCCTTAAATAAGTTTCATTTGACTTCCCTAGGATTGGCTGGTTTGGTGTCATAGGGCAAGCACTCGACCGTAAGATTGGAGGTTGAAACTCATCAGCCATCCTTCAGAAACCCTATCTATACAGGATCGCTATGAGTTGGAACCAACTTGAAGGCACTGAACAACAACAAAATATTAGCAGGCATTATTGTTTTGTTTTTAATTTGAATCGGTTATCAATATTTTAAATTCTTTGCCAAATATTCCAAGTCTAGCCCCAGCAGCTTGATTTTCTAAATGGTAATGAGTGGTTTGGAATGGGTGTGGCTGCTCTGCAGATGGGGGCAGATGGAGGCAGCCACCACCTGTCTGCAGGTAGGGACCTCTGCCTCAGACTCCTCTTGGTCTGTCCAGTAGCTGCAGATGTTTGAGTTTGAGACATGTGTCTGTTGGTCACTTGTAATTGGAGGGGACCTGCACTGACCAGCAGATTCACAATGGTTGGCACTCTCGTTACAGGGCATCGAAGACATTCTCCTTCATGACTTCTTGGAAGATGTTCCTATTCAGTACCTGAAATCTGTCCGGTTATTTAGTAAGAAATTTAAACTGTGGTTACTTAATGCTCTGGAAGGCTTCCCAGCCCTCTTACAGATTTCCAAACTCAAAGGTAAGTTTCATGAAAAGAGTAAATAAGTTCTGTAGGAGTATGAGACATATTGAACTTTCAAACAAAGCAGACATTCCGGCTGCTAAATAACTTTCTCTTCCCCTCTAATCCATAAGGCCTGGCCCATTCAAGTTGTCTGACTTTTTCTTTGTGCCAGTGAGGGAGTCATGAGCTGATTCATCCACATCCTTTTACCTTTCCCTCATAAAATGGATCCTGACAGGTCCAAGAAGTTAGGGAAGCCTTTGGGAGGTGCAAGCAGTTAAGTGCTTAGCTACTAACCACAAGGTTGACAATTTGGACCCACTCAGAGATGCATCAGAAGAAAGGCCTAGCAATGTGCTTCCAGAGGCCTGAAAACCCCATGGAGCAGTTCTACTCTGCACACCTGGGGTGGCTATAAGTCAGAAATGACGCCACAGCAACTGGGTTGGTTTCTAGATAAGGGGTGGTTGTTGTTAAGTGCTGTCGAGTGGACTCCATGTCCTAGTGACCCTGCATGGGGTTTCTGAGCAGCGGCTGGTGAGTTTGAACCAACAACCTTGCGGTTAAAACCAATGTTATGGTTCAGTGCTTTTCCTACAGCGCCACACCAGGGCTCCTCGTAAGAGGTTGTTGTTGTTGTTAGGTGCCATCAAGTCGGTACCAACTCATAGTGACCTTATGCACAGCAGAACAAAACACTGCCCGATCCTGGGCCAACCTCACTACTGTTGCCACGCTTGAGTCCATCGATGCTGCCATTTAGCCAATCCATCTCGTTGGGGGTATGTGGAAAAGATGCCCTACAGGAAAGAAAGAAACTGGTTCCATATGGCTGCTCTCCCATCAGTCAGCAGTTAGTTTTCAGGCTCATGTTGCCCTTCGCTGTATCTGGACTGCCTCTCCTCCTCCATCCTCATTCCCCTGGCTAACTCCTACTAACACATTAATGCCCAGATTAAATGCGACCTGCTAACTGAAGCCTTTCCGATATCTTCTTCCAATCAGGCTTCTTCCTTCCCTGAGCCAAGTGGGTTCCTCCTCCGTGTGCTCTCTCATGGCAGGAGAAGCATGTATCCCGCACTGTTGGGAAAGTGTTGGTGTATCTGGTGACCCATCCTCCAGATGGGGAGGCCTTTGAGTGAAAGTAGAGATTGCCCCCTTTATCCATCAGCTCAGCAAAAACTTAGTGAACAAAGGCCCAGTTCGGACCACAGAGTGACCATTTATGAATATTTGTCAAATGAGTAGACGAATGCTTTTAAAGGAGTGCTCCCTCACCCTTTATGTTTTCTTTTTATCTTCCCCTTTCTGTCATTGGAGTCCAAGGTCATGTACTTGGCTGCTAACTGACAGGCTAGAGGTTTGTGTAAATCCAGGGGTGCCTTGGAAGAAAGAGCTGGTGATTTACTTCCAGAAAGCAGCCACTGAAAACCCCAGGGTGCACACTTCTGCTCTGACACAGATTTGGCTGCCATGAGTCAGAACCAACTCAACGGCAGCTAGTTTGTGTGAGAGGGCTTCCAAAAGATCATGGGAAAATCCCAGTACCTTTTGATTCTATTAATCACATGCTTTTTGAAGCCCCGTGTGCACCCCACTATCTTCCCGACTATCCTTCATAGAATATGAAGTTATAGGATCAGTAATGGCACTGTGTATTGTTCTTAACAGAAGTCACTGTGTTTGTCAAAAGACTAAGAAGAAAGACCTACCTTTCCAACATGGCAAAGGTATGTGTCAGCCAACCAGGCATCAGGGAAGAAAGCAATTTCCTTAAGTGACAACTGAGAGCCTCAGAGCAGGTGGTAGCTCCCTCTCTGAGGCGCACCCATGCATGTGAACAGCAGGGTCAGAGGTGAAAGGGTATCATAGCAAAGCCTAGATCAGACAGGCCCCTCTACACTCCACAAGGCCCTGTGGACTTTTAATGTCAGACAGCCAGATTCCTCAACCCTAACGTTTCCACTCCTGAGGGGATCTCGTAGCTTCAGTTTTAAAGGAAAGTAGAGAAGGATTGAATTTTTTAAAAAAGATTCTAAAATACCATACATGGACCACCAAGAATCTACTCTGAAATTCTATGGGCACCAGGTTAGAACAGAGCTATGGGACTTTCAGTCCAAGTCCACTCCACATCACTCTCAGTGATGGGGATTCAGTTTGTCCTTCTGTTTGCCTGTCTCCATCTTCCTGGCACAGAACTTTCCCTAGACTGGAGTTTCACTGGGATTGTCAGACCACCATACATCCACATGACCCACTGGCCTGCACTTGCACATTCGTGATTCAGTCAGTTCTGGTATTTACTTACCCTGCAGCAATACCCTCATCTCACCAACTGAAGCGGCACACTTACTGACGTTTGGGAAAGCTAACTTAACACTCCAGTGTCCTTGGCTTCCTCCTCTGGGTGGTACAAACAGTTAATGTGCTCCGCTGCTAACTGAGAGCTGAGAGGCTCTGGCCCACCCCAGAGGAAGCTCAGAAGAAAGGCCTGGCAACCTACTTCTGAAAAGTTAGTCACTAATGCTAAACTGTTTAGACACATGTGGGTCGCTACAGACAGTACAGCATCAGGTTTATAAACACAGTGCCTGCTCACAGGGCTACTGTGAGGATGACTGAGTGCTCATCCTACGCACTGCAGACATGTCAGGGGTGAGGTATTCCCTATTTAACAGCAGTGGATGTCTGCTCACAAAGACTAAATTCATTGTCCAAGGCTCCCAAGAGAAAAGGCAGATACAGTTTCAGAATCTCCACAGCCTCCCCTGGGCATCAGTCAACTCTTGGCAACCTCTTTGGGGTCACACCCTTTCTTACAGATGATCATCACTCGCTGTGTTCCCCTGTAGAGGGATTTAGCTGGTTGAGTGGGGTGCAGGGGTTAGAAACAGGGAGAGGAGCTGCACATCCTGACAGCCCAGGACAAGGCTGTTAATGTTCAGAAAGGCAGTTCTAGAACACGCGACACTCGAATATTTAAATTGTCATCTAGGAGGCCATGTTCATGAGTAATATTCAAATTCACTTTCCCTGCTATTTAATAAAACAATATTGGTAATTTGGAGAAGGGGCTAAGTAAGCAAAAGTAAAATGAAACACAGCACTATAATTAAATATTCTTCTGTGCTCTCCTAACACCTCTAGACTATGAGATTGGTACTGAAAAATAGCAGGAGAGTCAACATTTTGAAGTCGGATCTACATGCCATTCTCAGTCAAAGCCCTTTGGATATTTCTAAGAAAGCCCTACCTGCTAACCCCAGGGACATGGATGACTTGGAGAACAACACTGAGATGAAATGTAATTTTTCTTCTTCAACATTCTTTATTGAAGTGTTCGGTATATATTTGGGGCTAGCATGGCTGTCACTCATTTATGAATTTCTTAGTAGAGAGTAGAATGTTATTTACTCCCTGATATTAAGGAGCTCTGGTAGCGTAGTGGTTACGAATCGGGCTGCGAACCTTAAGGTCAGTGGTTCGAAACTACCAGCAGCTCCGCGGGAGAAAGATGAGGCTTTCTACTCCCGTAAGGATTTACACCCTCGGAAACCCTGTACAGGGTCGCTATGGGTCGGCTCCGACTCGAAGGCACTTAACAACAACAACATTATCATGTAAAGGTTCCTGGATCGTTTGCGTTCAGCTTCTAACCTAGAAGGTTAGGGGTTCGAACCCACGCAGCAGTACCATGAAAGAAAGGAGTGGGGGTCTGCTTCCACAAATGTTGTTGTTGTCAGGTGCCATCAAGTCAAGATTGTTGTTGTTAAGTGCCAAGAAAACAATGAAGCAGCTCTGCTTTGTCAGGTCTGTAGTCACCATGACTTGGAATCAACTCAACAGCAATGGGTCTGGGTAGGACAGTTTGTGCTTTACTACTAACCTATCCAGCAGCACTGCAGAAAAAAAGGCCTGGCAAACATTCCAGCCAAGAAAACCTCATGGAATCCAGTTCTACTCTGTAGCACATGGGGGTGCCCTGAGTCAGATTGACTCAAAACCAATCAGTTTGGGGTTTTTGGTTTATTATCATTTATCCGCTCATGCATCTTTTCTGTAGGGGACACTGAATGCCCCGGGAACACTTAGTGACCCTGTACACCCAGAGCCTACCCAAATGCCTAATGTGGTATCAATAATATATACATGTTTAGCTAATGAATGAATATACAAATATGACTGTGGTTACCACTTGACAATATTAATTTCTGGAAATCAACCTGGAATATCTCATTTGAAAAAATAGTAATTTTGCAATCTATCTTGTCCCTGCCCTGATTCAACAGCATCTCTCCTAACATGTCTGAGTTGGATTTACTTCATTCTCTGCCTTGCCAACTAATGGTGTCATTGCTGTTAGCGTCTTCAAGTATTATTTTTAGCAACATGAAGTATAACAACTGTACTTTCACAATATGTATTTCACTACTTTATCAACAAGTGATATATATATATATTTCTTAACAACTGTGCTTTCACGGTGTGCATTTCATTACTTTATCAACAAGTGATATTAGGCATGTGGATATTCTTGTCCTCTGCTAGCTGGTAATGGTAATGACTTTTCATGCAAAATGAGAAATCAACTCCCTTCTATAGAGAGCTCAGAGATAGCATTGAGAATAAGAGCCAAGGAAACGTCACTCAGGAAGAACTACAGAAGATTTAAGATCCTCTCCTGCTAGAGTAAGAGCCTCTAGAAAGCCCAGGCCTCTGTACGCTGGCCTATGGAAGTTTCTGGGCTCCCCAGGTCCTCTCCACCAAATTGCCTCAAAAAGATTTAAGACACTCTAATCCCGTAGTGGTTACGAATTGGACTGCTAATCTCAGGGACAGCAGTTCGAAGCCACCAGCTGTTCCACAGGAGAAAGATGAGGCTTTCTGTTCCCATAAAGATTTACAGCCTTGGAAACCCTGTACAGAGTCACTATGAGTCGGAACTGACTCCACGGCACATAACCACCACCACCAATCGTGTGTGGCTCTTTGAGTAAGCACTGGATGACAGGTTGGTTTGAACTGCAAGATCAGCAGTTCAGATTCACCAGCCACTCCTTGGAAACTTATACAGGGTCACTATGAGTCAGAATCGACTCTATGGCACTTAACAATAACAACAACCTTGGTGTGACGCTGCAGGATAATGCGCTGGACCGCAAGGTTGATTTGAAGTGCAAGGTCGGTGGTTGAAACTCACCAGCTGCTCCTCGGAAACCCATACAGGATTACTGTGAGTCAGAACTGACTCTATGGCACTTAACAACAACAACAAACAATCCCCTGTGCACTCAGTTGTTTAAAGCTTCCTCCCAGTAAGCGGTGAGCTCCTTCAGGTTGTCAGCTATGCATCTTGAAAAGCCCAGCATAGTGGCTGGCATGTAGAGCACTGTAGTAAGTATCCCATGACTCGATGGATACTTGGAATCAGGACTACACAAAAGCACTGCCAATAAACCAGCCCATTCTGTCTTTGACCTTGACGTAGATCTGTACCAGTTATTAAAATAACTAAAATACAACCATAAATAAGGTTAATGAACAACCTCTGTCCACCCTTTCATCTCCTGTCTGGAGATTATTGCCCTGGCCCCTATTGCCCTGGCTGTCCCAGATTCTCCCCAAGACCCTCCCCCTCAAACCAATTCAGCCTCTAAAAGGATAGCCCCTACACCTGCAGGCCAGTAGCTGCTGACAGCAATTCTGAGTATGCAGTTCTCAAAAGATCTCCCCCTAGGTTATTGACTCCCCCACCAAAAAACATTTTAAATCCTAGATGGTCTCCCAAGCCCTCCTCTTGCCTTCAGTCAAAGCCCAGTGGAGGCCCAGGAGGGTATGTGCCCCCGACCCCAGGTGCTTTCCAGCTGGCCTGCTGATTCCTGTACTCCTGTGGGCGTACTGCGTGTCCTTCGTGCCCAGGAGGGCGCAGAACGCAGCAGAGACACCTGTAGCCCCTGAACACTGACCAACACTGACCAAGCCTCCACTCGGGGTAACAGCAATCAACTCAACCCTGCCTGGTATGCATTGGCATTCTAAAAGTTTGGGAGTCATTCTCTCCCACTCACTGGTGCCTGCCCAGGTGGAGCATTCAAGACCTGATGTCATACACAAAGGGGTCCCACCCTCAGGTCGGCACCAACTGAGCGCGTACCCACAGGCAAAGCTCTTGACTCTCTCAGCTGCTTTGATTTCCACTGCCCGGTAAGTGGCATTAATAAACTGCGCGTCTTACGAAAATGTCCAGGACCGGTGAGGTCATGTCTGCACCGTGCCGTGAGCTCATCTGAAGGCAGGTTCTGTATAATTACAAGGTGGAGTTTTTATTTCAAAATACTTCTTTCCATTCCAACAGGTGTCAGAGGTGCTTAGCAACAGGCATAACCCTATGAGTCTGAACTAGATGACCACAGAAGGGACAAACTCTGCACTTGAATTCATCCTTTGTGTTCAAAATTAATGTGAAGCCTCAGGGAGTTCCTTTGAACTAGTATTGTCTAGATGTTGTTCCTAGGTTACCTCATCTACAAATACCTGAGAACTCTATTACATTGCCTGCAATCTTTTTGTTTGTTTTCTTCTGTTCTGTTTTTTAACAGGTTTAAGCAGTTTAATTTCTTTGCTGGGAACATCAACAGATCTCAGTGTATTCCTAAACTCTCTGTCTTCAAATCTCCAAGCATTTGTCTTCCAGGTACAGAACTGCTTTGAGTTTTCTTGTTTTAAAGCAAAGAAGTGGGTGTTGATAACTTTAGGAGAAGCATAGCACCAAGTGCCCATTACTTTGTAGTACAAAAAAGGTTTCTCTCAAGCTTTTGCAAGAACCTGTTAAGGCTTGCACGGGTGTGCAGGACAGGGTGTGTGGGCTGACTTTAAAAGCATGGCGGAGACGCAGAGAACAGGCACGTCATGCAAACAAGTGAATGTGTATGTCTGATGCACAGACGAGCATGACTGTGCACAGGTGAACATGGGTGTGCAGGGGAGTATTGTGTATAAGTGAGCATATGTGGGTGGACTTGTGTGTGCACAGTTGAGTGTATGTGTGAGTGTCTGTATCCATGTATGGACTTGTGTGTGCATGGATTAGCATATGTGAAGGTGAATGTGAGGGTGGGTATGTGCATCCCTAGATAGGTTTGTGTGCACATGGGTGAGTGTATGGACACATACGTGAATGTGTGTGTGTATGTGTGCAGGTGCACGTATTTGTGTGGGGGTCAATGTGTGTGTACAGGTAAATGTATCTGAGTAGGCCAATTGTGAGTGTGGATGAAGAGCTATATCTGGCTGAGAAGGAAAGCAGTTGTCTGGGTGTTCTGTGGACATGTTCCAAGAAGACATACAGACATGTTCAGGTGTCTGGCTTGGTTTCAAACCTTCAAAGATGAGCTGGTTGTCAATCTGAGTGAATCTGGCCCTTCTGATCAATGTGCTACTTGAGAGTTACTTGACTAGAAGTCGGCTGTCTCATTTTCACCCTTTTCATCAACAATCACACCTTGAAGAGCTGAGAATGCTTGTGATGAAATCACTGCACCCTCACCACCAGTGAGCAGTGGTTGGGCAGGGAGCTTGGAGCTCTAGTGCTCTGACATTCTAAGGTGTCATCTTTCCTGAAGGCTGAAGCAGTTGGGAAAGCCTGTGTAGTGGGACCTGAGACCTAAACTGGGATCTGAATTGGGAGAGTACAGCTGAGAACAAGAAACAAGGCATTCAGGAGAGAGAACTGTGCAAAAAGTGTGCAGATGGAAGAAAATGAAGGCCTGTATCAGCAGAAGGTCGGCCGTTCAAACCCACCAGCTGCTTAGGGTCGCAATGAGTTAGAACTGACTCGAAGACACTTAACAACAACAGGATAGGGGAGAAGAAACAGACAATCTTGAACAGAGATCAGAGTCTCTGAGAACCTGCAACCAGGAACACAACTTCTACTTTCTCCCTCAAGCCATTTCTTGCCATTCCCATTTTCCATGACAGGCTAGCCTTGTCCATTCTCCTGTCCTCTCAGTCTAGGTAAAGGGCAGAAATCATTAACGAGTCCACAGAGACTGCAAGAGAATTGGGAGTCGTCAACCTCAGAGAGATGAATCAAAATTTCAGGACGAAGCATGGAAGTCCATTCCAACCTTTGGCAGGATCTCTGTCCTATCTTTGCTTTGCTTGTAAACATAACCATTCTAGCTTCTGTGTGGTTTTTATTCCTCTTTTTTGGTCGTAAGCCTAGTTTAATTATAACAGCAGTAGCATGTCTAGCATTGCATTGCTACTGAGACTAGTATTCATTTTATAGCTGAAGATTTAGGAATCATCACTGATAAACACTTTCAATAGACTGTTACGTGCTTTTGGATTCTCACTCAGCCTATCACTTCAACCAAGATAAGTCCGCTGAGATCATTAATACAAACACAGCCTAGAAATAGCCCGACAGTCTTGTCCTAGATTTAAACCACCAGTCCGTGTTTGCCAAGCCCCCGTCATCCTATCTTCAGCCTTCACAAATGAGGCATGTTAGAAAAAATGGTGTTTTTATAACTCTATGGCTTTGAAGGGCATGTTTTTGTAAAACAGCTTAGCTAATTAAAAAAACTGCCGATTGTCAATAAAATACTCAGGCTGTTCAAGCGAAAGCTCTGGAGCCTGTCAGGGGTGACTAATGGCTGCACTTGTGAGCATCTGGTGGCACGCTAGCAGAGGGAAAGGCTAACTTTGTCGTGATCCCAAATATAACTTCTAAATGGAGGACCAGGAAGTGTCACACTGTGGTGGTGATCAGAAGAGGACTCAGTATTGTTTGTGGTCCAGGTCTAAGCAGTTGTGCAGAGGGGAAGTGCTGATTGTCCAGAGAGTATCCATTCTCAATGTCACTTCAACTTAAAATCCCCCATTGGACACCAAGCGTTGTCCTAAGAACCCCATTTCAGGGGTCAAGAAGCAAGAATCAAGAAGGCGTGGGAGCAAAATGCTGCCAGTGAAATGCTGCTCCCTATGGGAGGTCAAAATCGCCCGAAGCTCAGGCAATCCTCTTGTACATTGTGCACTTCCAGTGAGAGAGAAGAGAAGAGGAATACAGACAAGAAAGGGCATTTTCTCTTGTCCAATCAGTCTCCACCATTCATCATCAAAGAAATGCTTTTAAGTTCAGTAGAAGGTCCACACAGCATACGACTCAGGGGCATTCACTTCACCATATACACTTGATGATCACAGGTCCCATTGGTTTGTACTAAATGTGGAGTCCTTTGGGTGGTACAAAAGCTTGGCAAAAAGGTTTTACGCTAGACTCCTAGTTTGAACCCACCCATTAGAGCCCCATGGAAGAAGGCTTATCGATCTGCTTCTGTAAAGGTTAAACCAAACCAAACCCACTGCCAGCAAGTCAATTCCAACTCATAGGACACAGTAGGAGTGCCCCCATAGAGTTTCTGAATCTTATCTTTACAGAAGCATATCTTTCTGTCATATCTTTCTCCTTGCGGAGTGGCCAGTGACCAGTTAGCCCACTGTGCCACTAGGGCTCCTTGTGACAAGATTGTTGTTGTTGTTAAGTGCCATTGAGTTGATTCCGACCCATAGCAACACTGTATAGGGTTTCCAAGGAGTGACTGGTGAGCTTGAACCACCGACCTTGTAGTTCAAACGACTTTGCAGTCTGGCACGTTAACTCACAGCGCCACACCAGGATTCCTGTACTAAGATTGCAGCCAAGAAAATCCAAAGGATTTTCTTGGCTGCAATCTTAGCTCCAGTATAGTTTTATACAATACAGTTTTGCTCCAATATAGGCAGGGTCGCCGTGAATCAGAATTGACTTGACAGAACTGGTTTAGCTTGGGTGGTGCAAACAGTTAACATGCTTGGCTGCTAACTAAAAGGATAGTGGAAACGCACCAGAAGAAAAACCTGGGAATCTACTACCGAAAAATGAGCCATTGAAAACCCTATGGAGCACGTGGGGTCGCCATGAGTTAGCGGCTCTTTGAAGGCAACTCGTTTTTTGGTAGTCAGTTTAGAGTAAGATGCAAGTAGATCTCAATGGAGAGAATGTTGTGGTCCACCTGAGGAGGAAACTTGAGTGCTTTTCAGATCTGTTATACGCTGGAGGAGGGGGCGGGACTTCTGGTCCTGGGATCATTAACGCATAGTGGCCAGTTTGAAACAAAAAAATGTTACTTTCCATCGTTGTGGAATTTGGTGCCCTTTCTTATAATCAGACTTAGCATGCTGAAGTGGACATATCAAATATTCACCAACCCCCTTGGTAGCTATTTCCAAGTAGACTGGAGTTTGCCCCCGCAGCATTTCTCCGTTGCGTTTCACAAGTGACCTCATTTTAAAGATCATGTGGGGATTTTCAAAAGTAGGCCAATCTCCCACCACCCTTCTCACTCTCCACCAACTTCAAAGGGTCTGCCCTGGAATCGACGCCACAGGGGATGGAGCAAGACCAGAAATAGGCCCTACGCAGGCATGCTTGCCTTAGTTCTCGGCCTTCACATCATTTTGTCTTCCTGTTGGAGTTTAGTCCTTTAAAAATGCCTGTACTTGACAAATGTGCGCATTTGAAAACACACTGTTCTGCTTGACGTTATCATAAACCCCAGTGTTTTTTCTCACAAAAATTTAATAGCCAAGTAGAAGCAAAGAGGAGTTTATCAAATTGGCTGCCAGCTTCCAGCTAAGATGGAATTTCCTTCTCACAGCTGTGAGCAAAGCCATGACCCTCTGCCACAGGGATAGTTTTGGTAAGTCAAAGGATACAAAAGCACTTGTATTCTACCCTCTGAAGACGTTCTTATAGCGTAAGTATCTCTTATATTACCACATAGTTGTCTCCTATATTACCATGGTCATTGTTTTCAACATATTAGTATAAAATAAAACATGCATGCAGAAAACCAGACAAAACCCTAGTAGTCTTTGTTGTGTTTTTAAATGGCAAGATGATAATCCATCAAACTAAACCGTGTTTAGTTTACCCGTTCCATCATTGTTAGGTACATAGGAAGTTTCTCCCTTGCTTTTGAATTGTGTTTTTTGTGACATTTTGAGCAATGCACCAGGGTAGGCCACTGATATACAGGGAAAATGAGATCTTTGGGGTACCCACATTTAACTTTTAGGAATAATGATTAATAAAGTCACCATGGTATGCAGATGGTAGATAGTGGTAGAGTCCCTGAGTGGTGCAAATAGTTAAGCACTGGGCTGCTATGCAAAAGATGGGAGGTTGGAGCCCATCCACAGAAGCCTCGGAAGAAAGCCTGAAGATCTACAACGGGGCTTCCAATATTTGTGAAAAAATTGAATTAAAAGATAATTATGGAACAAACAAGATGGCAGATCGGGTGAAAGTGCAGTGAGGAGCTCCGCTGGCAACAACACAGAATACAGGACCAAGCAGGCTCAGGGGATGGTCCCAGAACTCTGGACCACATATAAAGGAATATTTAGAAGGTTGGAAGACTTACAGCTGGGCGAGTTTGTGGCAGAAGTAAGAAATCTATTGCTTGCTGGTTCAGGACGCTCAGCTGCTCCAGGAGACGCCATCTTGGGTGGGGCCAAGCAGAGGAAGGATCAGAGCAGCCACAGATGCCTGACAGAGCAGCGGAGATAAAGGTGTGGACATTCTTTTTGTTGGTATCTGTTTGTTGGTCCCTTGCTGTCTGC